CAGAATACAGAACACAGCAAAAGTGAATTGTTTGTTGGCTAGGAATGAATATGAACATGTTAGCAATTAATACTGGATGAATGTGGTCAGACCCAATAACCAGACACTCCATCTTCTTGGCCAAGAGATGCTAATTTCCAACATACACACAATATGCAACACATATCTCTTCTCTGACCACCTAAGTATCAATATTTCTAAGGCAGAAATCACAGCATTTCCTACATTAGAAATGTATAATTAGTCAAGGACTTTTTTGGCTTATAACTGGCTTAATTGTAGGGCACCTCAAAGAGACCCTGTCACCCACCTAAAATAGAATTGTAGTTAAATGCACAGAAAAATGAAGTATTTTAAAAGCTTACTGACAGTTTTTTCCTTTCCATAAACCATTTTTAATTTTTATGCACCTGTTATGAACTTGACTAGTAAATTTGAATTGTCAATTCTTTAGCACAACCTCTATCTTCTTCCATTGGAAGTCCTCTTCAATTGGACTTAAAATATTATTTTAGGTTTAGAAATTCTTAGGCATGATTTATGGCCAATTTTGTATTGTTTATAAAAAAAAGTATCATTTTACTAATGAACTTGCAGGTAGCACCCATAACATTGGAATCATGAACAAGTTATCTATCTATCTATCTATCTATCTATCTATCTATCTATCTATCTATCTATCAATCTATCTATCTATCTATCTATCTATCTATCTATCTATCTATCTATTATCTATCATCTATCTATCTATCTATCTATCTATCAATCTATCTATCTATCTATCTATCTATCTATCTATCTATCTATTATCTATCATCTATCTATTATCTATCTATCTATCTATCTATCTATCTATCTATCTATCTATCTATCTATCTATCTATCATCTATCTATCTATCTATCTATCTATCTATCTATCTATTATCTATCTATCTATTATCTATCTATCTATCTATCTATCTATCTATCTATCTATTATCTATCTATCTATCTATCTATCTATCTATCTATCTATTATCTATCTATCTATCTATCTATCTATCTATCTATCTATCTATCAATCAATCTATCTATCTATCTATCTATCTATCTATCTATCTATCTATCTATCTATCTATCTATTATCTATCTATCTATCTATCTATTATCTATCTATCTATCTATCTATCTATCTATCTATCTATCTATCTATTATCTATCTATCTATCTATCTATCTATCTATCTATCTATCTATCTATCTATCTATCTATCTATCTATCTATCTATCTATCTATTATCTATCTATCTATCTATCTATCTATCTATCTATCTATCTATTATCTATCTATCTATCATCTATCTATCTATCTATCTATCTATCTATCTATCTATCTATCTATCTATCTATCTATCTATCTATCTATCTATTATCTATCTATCTATCTATCTATCTATCTATCTATCTATCTATTATATCTATCTATCTATCTATCTATCTATCTATCTATCTATTATCTATTATCTATCTATCTATCTATCTATCTATCTATCTATCTATCTATCTATTATTTATCTATCTATCTATCTATCTATCTATCTATCTATTATCTATCTATCTATCTATCTATCTATCTATCTATCTATCTATCTATCTATCTATCTATTATCTATCTATCTATCTATTATCTATCTATCTATCTATCTATTATCTATCTATCTATTTTTTTTTTTTTAAACGTCATCAGATCTCAATGGGGAAGAATCTCCTGCTGGATCTCTATACTGACATGGACGGGGTAATGTGTCAGGAACGTAAGGACGCCCCATCGTTTGATGGAGATGAAATTTATTAACCTACAGAGGACTGAATTCAAAGACACCCCCAAAATCAAAGTGAATAAATTAAGCAGCAGGCGAGTCCATTTGCTGAAATGTTATTGCAGCAACTCAGAATGGTCCTCAGTAGTTTGTATGGCCCTCACATGCTTGTATGTATACTTGCCAATGTTGGGGCATGCTCCTAATCAGACCACGTATGGTGTCCTGGGGGATTTCCTTCTAGATCTGGACCAGGGCATCACTGAGCTCCTGGACAGTCTGAGGTGCTACCTGGTGGCACCAGATGGATCGAAGCACGATATCTCAGATGTGTTCTATTGGATTTAGGTCAGGCGAGCGTGGGGGCCATTCAGTGGTATCAATTTCTTCATTATTTATTTATTTCAGGTACTTATATAGCGCTGTGAATGTACACAGCACTTTACATATATATTGTACATTCACATCAGTCCCTAAGCCTTAAGGGGTGTACAATCTAAGGTCCCTAACTCACATTCATACATACACATACTAGGGCCAATTTAGACAGGATCCAATTCACTTACCAGCATGTCTTTGGAGTGTGGGAGGAAACCGGAGTATCCAGAGGAAACCCATGCAGGCACAGGGAGAACATGCAAACTCCAGGCAGGTGGTGCCATGGTTGTGATTGGAACCAACGACCCCAGTACTGCCAGGCGGAAGTGCTAACCATTTAGCCACTGTACTGCCCCACATCCCCCAGGAGCTGCCTGCATACTCTCGCCACATGAGGCCAGGCATTGTTATGCACCAGGAGGAACCCAGGACCCACTGCACCAGCGTAGGGTCTGACAATGGGTCCAAGGATTTCATCCCGATCACTAATGGCAGTCATGGTTTCATTGTCTAGCCTTTAGAGATCTGTGTGTCCCTCCATGCCTTCTTAGGCCATCACTGACCCACCACCAAAACAGTCATGCTGAACGATGTTACAGGCAGCAGAACGTTCTCCACGGCTTCTCCAGACCCTTTCACGTCTGTCACATGTGCTCAGGGGGAACCTGCTCTCATCTGTGAAAAGCACAGGGTGCCAGTGGTGGACCTGCCACTTCTGGTGTTCAATGGCAAATGCCAATCCAGCTCTATGGTGCTGGGCAGTGAGCACAGGGCCCACTAGAGGATGTCAGGCCCAGGGGCGGACTGACCATTTGGAAACTCGGGCACTGCCCGAGGGCCCGGGGTCAGTAGGGGGCCCCATGAGATGCCCCTGGTACCTTTTTCATAGGCTTTTTTGAGTTTGGGCAAGGACACAGGGGCCCCATGATCCCCTATTGCCCGGGGGCCCCATGAGTTGTCAGTCCGCCCCTGGTCAGACCCTTAGGCCACCCTCATGAAGTCTTTCTGATTGTTTCGTCAGAGACAGAGTGGCCTATTGGAGGTCATTTTGTAGGGCTCTGGCAGTGCTCACCCTGTTCCTCCTTGCACAAAGGAGCAGATACCGGTCCTGCTGATGGGTTAAGGACCTTCTATGGCCCTGTCCAGCTCTCCTAGAGTAACTGTCTGTCTCCTGGAATCTCCTCTATGCTTTTGAGACTGTGCTCGGAGAAACATCAAGCTTTCTGGCACTGACACGTATTGATGTGCTTCCTGGAGGAGATGGACTGCCTGTGCAACCTCTGTAGGGTCCAGGTATGGCCTCATGCTACCAGTAGTGGAGAGAGAGAGAGAGAGAGAGAGAGAGAGAGAGAGAGAGAGAGAGAGAGAGAGAGAGAGAGAGAGAGAGAGATCAGCACTTTTAGAGTTGGAATAGAGTTTTAAAAAATTGCTGAAACTTTTTGCAGACCTCCTGTGTGTGTGTGTGTATACAGTATATATATATACACAGTATATATATTACAAAATATTCAAAAATATACAATCCAGTTTTTTAGGTCTTATTCTAATAAACAAATAAATAAAATATATGCCAAACTATAAAGTCCCTTCAAGATAAATGACATTTGATTAGAAGTTTGCATTCAAATTCTACATCTTGCATAAACAGAAGGACATTGAAAGAACATGTCAAATGATACAGGTAATAAAATAGATAATTCAAATGTATCTATTTTGACTGATTACCTCCTCTGTGTGCCCAGGAGGGACAGAGTCATTGTGCTGGTTGATGATTTGGAGGACAACAGTGGTGAGGAGAAGACTCGGATCCTGAAGAATCAGCCCAGTATTGGAAAGTGGGCCAGTGACCTCCTCCTCATATCACACCCAGAGAAAGCTGATAAAAGACAACTTGAAGGAAAATTGAAGAGTATAAAGCAATTTTGTCATCCATCAGGTAATTTTCTTTAAATTATGTGATCTCTGTCCATTGCTGCATTAAATGGGGAAATTCACAATACTGGGTGGATTTAGCAACATAACAAACCTGGGGCATTTCTAGGATCTTCAAAGACCTGAGGGCACCCCTGGGCACTTAGCCTGAAGTGTTGCATAGGCCGTTGATAAAAATTTCAAAATTCTTAACAATTTTTACCATTAAGATAAGTTGCTTTGCTAATTGTAGTCCTGTAGTGGTGACATAGTGGGGTGGGGGGTTGGGGGTCAAGCCACTGTGCAAAAAGGTGCTTCCTTTTTCAAAAAGAATGCATGGGTCTTTAGCTGCGGATTCAAGCCTGGTACAGATTTTTCATCTGGGGTTAGGGAAAAAAACATATTCAGTCGTTAGTAAAATGTTTTAATCTACAAATTGACTTCAGTCCTTTCTTTGACAGTAGAGATGAGCCAAACTACCCTAGATTTTATTCAGACATAAATGTTAGCCCCCCAACATCTACAGTTGTGCTCAAAGTTTTGCATACCCTGGCAGAAATCATGAAATTTTGGCATTGATATTGAAAATATGACTGATCGTGCCAAGAAACTCTTTTATTGAAGGATGATGATCATATGAAGCCATTTATTATCACTAGAGATGAGCGAAGAAATGAAAAATTCGATTCGACTGATTCGGCGAATTTGTGGACAATATTCGATTCGAGTAGAATAAATTCGCTGTGAATTTAACTTAAAAAAGGGTGTTTCTAGGCTTCAGAGAGACTTAATATTAGTGCAGAACACTGTACCTTTAATTTAAATGCCCTTGGAGTCTGCTGGGGAAGAGAAATAATACTGTCACTCAGTATGAGATGAGTGCCGTCGATCTTAGAATCACCGCACCACTTCACTCATTTGGCCAGTCACGGGGCCAAAACCAGTGTTTGGAGCCACAGTGTGGCGGTGGAGGGGCAGCAGCAATGGGAGGCCATACAGCAACCTATGACAAAATGGAAACCCAGCAGGAGTGTGAGGAGACCTGAAAGTGGCACATGGCAGAGTGGGGAGCAATGGAGGCGGTACAAGGACCCATGTCACACTGTGGACCCAGCAAGTATGACCAAAAAAATGAGAACACACCAGCAGTGTGTGAGGAGACCTGAAAAGTGGCACATGGTCAGAGTTTGTGGCGATGGAGACTAGCATCAATTGGAGAGCCGTTACAGGGACCCAATGAAGAGGACTGTGGACCTGGCAGCAGCAATGAGGAGGCGGCTATAAAGGGCCCATCGTGGCAGGAATTGTAGGGGCCTGGGTAGCAGCTAATAGGAGTGCCCGTAATCTGGCAAGCACCCAATGAGGACAAAAAATTGAATCACTCCAGCAGAGATGGGTGAGGAGACACTGGAAGAACGGGCACATGGCATGAGAGACTCTGGACTGCAGCCGCAAGAGGAGGAGGCGGGTATATAGGGTGACCAAGGCAGATTAGGGCCTGGCAGCAGCTATGGGAGGCCCGTAATCTCGCCAGCACCCAATGTCAAAAAATTGAATACACAAAGCAGTATGTGAGGAGACCCTGAAAGTGGCA